CTCCTGGTCACCTGGGCAACAGTTGTAATCGCTGCTCGAATCCAAAACACTTCATTTTTTCTTTCTCTGTGCTTGAATTATGCATGCACACTCGCAAACACACATACACACACACACACACACATTCATACACACATAGAGCTATTGTTGTTGTTGTCAAAGCTGACTGCTAAAGGAAATTAGATTTTAGCTCCGCCCCCAAAAAGCACGCCGCCAAGCAGCGACAACAAAGGCGCTAAATGGGGCGTGGCTGTTGTGCTCTCTGCCAGAGGAAACGGAAAGGTAGAGGCGAGGGCTGGCAGAGCTGGCTGGCTAAAACGGCTTAAATGCTTTGGCATCGCCTTTTCGCTTGATTTGCATAATGGCTGCTGGGGTTTGCATGACGCCGTGAAGTATGCTACACATTTGCACACATTCTAAATGGTGCGCGTAGAGCGCTGGGGGAGAGGGGCAATGGGGTAGAGCCCACGTTCATCGCCCAGGGCCGGATCAGGCAGTCAAACGTGTGGTCCAACTGAACAAAATATGCAGCCAAACAATAATATTATAATGAGCTGCTAACTGAAACTCGGTTCTCAAGTCTGCCCAAAATGAGTTCACAGACTTTTGACTCTGTAGCCCAGGGGCGGCTTACACTGTGTGGGCCAAAGCTCTGCCTAGTCAGTGTTTATATTAGGGAGTTGCAATTGGAAAAGCAAAGAAAGCGGCAAAGGCCAAGACAAAGATGAAGAGCCAAGCATATACCAAAGCCTGCTAGGTTTTTGAAATTTATCCTTATGACTCGGGGCTGAGCTCCGAGGGAAGACATTGTTTATTATTTATCATTGCAATCCATTTCTAGAAGAATTTTCCTCTTTGCTGTCACAAAGTATAGAGTAAAGGCCAATATTAGCTGCACAAGGAGATATTCTCCAAAACCTTATTCAACATTCTTCCTCCCTGCCCGGCATAAGTAAGATACAAGATACAAGATACAAGATACAAGATACAAGATACAAGATACAAGATACTAGATACAAGATACAAGATACAAGATACAAGATACAAGATACAAGATACAAGATACGAGATACAAGATACAGAATCCTGAAATTGAATGAAATTTTCATTTTAGTAGAAGATATCTCGGCTTGTCACAACTACTGGCCTAGGCAGCTAGAGTAAAGCCCATTAAAAGTTACAAAAGGAGGTGTTCTCCTAGTACTTACTTCAAGCTTCTCTCTCAACTGGTGTCTGTGCGCCCCGTGTGTGTCACCCGCTGAGCCGTGCCTGTGATTGTGCTCTATGTCCGGCAGTTCCTTCCGTTTGCCGCTTACTTTTCGGTTGCTTGGCTGCTTTCCGCATTGTCAGCGGAAATTATTTTGCTGTCAGCTGCCAGGCAGTCGGCCAGTCAGCCAGTCAGAGCATCATGTGAGGCAGAGCTTGCGCTGCATGTCCAATGGACATTCATTCGCCTGGTGCCTGCTCTCTGGTGCCTGGTGTCTGGTGCCTTATGCATTTCAAGCAGCTCACTGTCCTAGAATCCCTTTCAGCTGTCTTTGCAGCATCATCAGCATCAGCACAAATCCAAATGGCTTTTGATGCGTGCGCCCTAGCCTAAGGTTCCACTTGAAACCCTTCGAGGCTCTGCATATCAAAACTCTAGCGCACTCTCATTATTTATTTATGCGAAAGGCTCTCAGGCGAACTGTTCATAAATCATGCAAAATATTCATTTAAAACCATTTGGAGAGCAGTTTCGCTTGATCGATTTATTGGATTCATCAATGCATTATTTAGCTCATGTTTTTCTTTCATTTTTATAACTTTGCATTCAAGCATTTTCAAGTTTATATTCAACTTTGAAATAGTTCATGAAAAGTTCAAGTCCTTCGTGCTCACTTTGCTTCATCTTTGTGCCAGGCAATATTAAAACTTTTGCGCTGATATGGCAACGCTGCATGAATAAGTTGACAATCGCTTGGCAAAGCAGCTAAAGAACTTCGCCCTCTGATAACTTGACGACATTGTATATATATATATATATGTATGTACATATATGTATTATAATTCGACAATGCCTCACCAGTCCGATTAACTGATTACGAGCATATTTAAGCCAAGCGAAGTGCGTTCGAATAATCAAGGTTTAATAATCGATTTACATCGGCTGATTGGAGAGAACAAAAACTGTGGTTGGATATCTGCATATCAGCATATGCAAAAATTATAAGCTTGTGTAGGAAACAAAAACGCACAATAAGATTATTATATGAAAAAAAAAAAAAAAAAAAAAAAAAAAAAATCTTGGAATTGAGAACTATTTTTTTTTTTTTTTCATAAAATCCTGCAATCTTTTTATAGAACCTAATAGATAAAATAATATTAGTGTACAAGATCCTACACTTGAAGCCCACAAAAATAAAATGAAAGATGGAAAATATTCTTAAAATCCTATCCCTATACTATATAGAAAATGATATATACTCATGAAATGCATTTGACGAACATAAAAAATACTCACATATAGAGGCCAAAGGGTTACCATGAAATGGCTTACAGAAGTTGCCAACAGAGAGGAGGAAAGACGAGAGCAGGGGAAAGTTGTTCATGCAGGCCTTGCACGCGATGCCAGATAAAAGATAAGAGATATGAGATAAGAGATAATCGCGCATCAGGAGCGAATGGCAAGTGATTAATTGCGAAGGCGCTGTCAGAGTCAAAGCTGTTGTTGACAGCAATTAATTGCACAGCTTTTGCACTTCAACTAATTTGCAGCTGTACGCAGCAGTGTGACCAGACTTCAGTTGTCTATTTAATGCACAATTAGCGAATTGAGCGCTACACAGCACTGGCATTGGAAGCACCAGCAGCAGACGTTAAAACTATTTACAGTTTAATCTAAAACCATTTACTTCAATTCCAAACAGTTTTAGTTCCCCCTCTCTCTCTCTCTCTCTCTCTCTCTCTCTCCCTCTCTCATTCTGTCTGAAACGTAATTTCTTAAGGAATAACTCAAACAGTCTTGCACCTGTCTGGCTACAAATGTGCCCAAGTGACGGGGGTCTGCTGTTTGCTATATAGTTAATTTCGACTCGTAAGCTTCCTTTTGATGTAATTGCCCAACACTGGCTGAGGGTGGAAGCGAGCTGGACAGCGACAGTTCACTGATTAACTACCTGGACTCTTGACGCACTGCCCACTGTCTACTTGGCCTTAAGGCTCCTCTCATCATCAGGCTCGGCTCATTCATTTGACATTTTCATTTCGTTCAATTTCTATTCTGCGTCTTATTTTATTGCAATACTCGCTCGACTAACAGAAAGCGAGTATATAGGCTGACTGACTGAATGTCTGACTGCCCGCAAGAAACTTCGAGTTGGTTCTGTTAATCTTACTATCTCATGAGTTCCATTAATTTTGAGTAGGATAATTTGAAGCACTTTTTATAGCTGAAGCTGTCTTTTGGGGGCGTGGCATAGGAAAGGGGCCCTCTGCTTCCCACTTCTAGCTATTGCTGTGGGTTCAAAAAGAACTTGAAATTCTCTGCTCTTGCTTGGCTTTAGCTGTTGAGCGAGCATCGTGCAGTCGTTGCTACTTGAGTGTTTTTCTATGCTGTTGTCTTGGGGTTGCCGGCTGGCATTCAAAGTTGAAATACCTGAAAATGTTTGGTAATTTAGATCAAAGGCGGCCAAGTACGTGCAGGCATTTACGCGGTCCCTGCTGCTGCTGCTGCTACGACTGTCACGCCCCCTGCCCCCTTGGCTGAGGGTTGCTGTGACACACTGAAAAATACTTGCTAAGTCGGATTAAGTAATTTGCGCGTGCCATTTTCAATTTGTTGTTGCGTTTACGCGTTTCACTTTGCCTCATTTCTCATTTTTCTCTTTTTTTCCTTTTTGCCCTGGCCGCTCAAAGAGCGCCAAAAATGTGAACAAAGTTTTTTTTTTGAGCCTTTTCTTTTATGTGTGCGACAAGTGGAAAGACAATAGAGCCCATAGTCTACATACTTGGGGCAATTACTCGATTGCCCTCCGCCATAAAAAAGGAAAGAGAAACCCCAAAACAAAACAGAATAAAAAGAAAAATCGATAAGTCAGCGAAACAAAGGGCAAAGGCAAAGAACGCCGCTGACGAGCTCTATTATCGAAATAGTTAAATTTATTAATTATATTTTGATTAGAGCAGCCAAACAAAAGTTTGACAGAGAGCCTAGAACTGCCAAAGGCAGCTGCTCCATGGGCTGAGCAACTAAAGGTACAACAAGTTGTAGAGGTTTGAGATATTTGATGGACTTTTGAAACTAAGAGATGTTGGGGAGAAGCTAGGGCTGGCATTGACTCATTTGTTGTGTTATGACTGCGATACATCGTCAAGTACAAGTCAAGGAAATGGAAGAGATAAGAAGAGAGAGAGAGAAAGTGACAGAGAGATAGAAACATATAGTTGCTGAGACTGAAACTAAAACAGACTTTAAAACTGAGACTGACTGATAAAGAGAAATTCAAGAAAAAAGCAGAGGGAGAGAGCGGAAGTGAGAGTGAGAGAGATAGACATATAGACACTGAGACTGAGACTGAAACAGAGACAGAGACGGAGATTGAGACTGAGAAGGAGAAATTCAAGAAAAAAAACTGAGAGAGAGAAAAAGTGAGAGGGAGAGTGAGAGATAGACATATAGACACTGAGACTGAGAAAGAGAAGTTCAAGAAAACAGCAGAGAGGGAGAGAGCGAAAGTGAGAGTGAGAGGAAGAGTGAGAGAGAGAGGGAGAGTGAGAGAGAGAACGGGAGCAGAGATGAAAATCCCCAGCATTTCAACCGACTGAAGAGCAGTCCTAAAACAGTTTATAATTGAATGACAAATCTAATCAAATATTAACATAATATTACAATACAATAGGCCACTGGCCACTACTGGTCTGCTCACTGTATGAAGCTCATGTCAACGAGGAGGTAACCTGTACATGGATAATAGAAACTCAAGCTCAGCCGCTGTACAATCTCATACAATCTAGCTAAATAGCTGTTTTATTACTATCGATAGGAGTTGCCAGGCAAGCGACAGTGTTGCAAAACGCATGCAGGCTAGTCGTGGTCCAGTCTACAAATGGGCCCCTCCTCGACCATCTTGAGGTCCACCTTGGGTCCGACCAGGTCGCGTATGTTGTTGATGCCATACTTGATCATTGTGGGCCGCTCGAGCGACAGGCCCCAGGCGAGCACATTCACGTCGGGGGGCAGGCCCATGGGCAGCACGAGCTCGGGCCGAAAGATGCCCGAATTGCCCACCTCAATCCACTTGGCCAGGCCGGGATGGTAGCAGTAGACCTCCATGCTGGGCTCCGTGTACGGATTGTAGGTCGGCTTGAACTGCAGCTCGCTGATGCCCAGCTTGCGGAAGAACTCGTGCAGCGTGCCAATTAGATCGCCCAGGGTGAGGCCGACATTCGCGATGACGCCCTCCACCTGGTGGAACTCGGCCAGGTGTGTGGCATCCAGGGCCTCGTTGCGGAACACCTTGTCGATGCTGAAGTACTTGGCCGGCTTGAAGCCGTTCGGCTGCTTGGCCAGCTGGTACAAGGTGCGAGCACTCACGGCCGTTGTGTGGGTGCGCAGCAGATTCTTCTCGGCCTCGGCCAGCTGCCAGTTGTAGCCGTAGCCCCGCGACCCGTACCCGCCCACCGAGTGAACGGTGGCCACGCGCTGCACGTAGTCCTCGGGCAGCGGGCCGCACTGGGCCGGCTGCTTGACGAAGAACGTGTCGTGGGCATCGCGAGCCGGATGCTGTTGGGGCTGAAAGAGCGCGTCGAAGTTCCAGAACGATGCCTCCACATAGTTGTTGGTGGCCATCTCCGAGAAGCCCATCTCGAGGAAGATCTGCCGGAACTCGCTGCGCACCTTGAGCAGCGGATGCAGCTGGCCGCGCGCCGGCGCCGCACCCAGCGCATCGAAGTTGTAGGGCTTAAACTGGAGCTGCTGCCACTGTCCGCTGGCCAGCATGTCCGTGGTCAGGTCCGTCTCCAGCTTGGTCAGCGTCGTGCTGAACTCGGCGCCCTTGCTGAGCAGCAGGCTCTTGATGGTCAGCTCCTGCAGCAGCTTGCGCTTCTTGTACTCGGCCACGTCCTTGGCCGACAGCTCGGCCAGCTGCAGCAGCTGCTCGCGCACCTCGTCCACAATCGCGCTCACCTTGCGGCGCACGAGCGTCGGCTGCACGCTCCTGTCCAGCCACAGCCAGCCCAGCGACATGGCCTTGCTGAAGCCCAGCTGGGCACTGGCGCCGCCAGCCGCCAGCAGCTCCGTCCGCTTGATGCCCTGCTCCGGCACCGCGGCAAAGACATTCGCCTCGTGGCTGCCGCCCTGTGCCACCGCCTGCCCCTCCTCGGTCAGCTCGAGCGACTTGCGCGTGACGGACTCCACGTGCAGCAGCCGCTCGCCATGCGCCTGGATGCTCTTCACGGCGCCCACAATCTTCTGATGCTCGATACCAAACTCCTTGGCCAGCTGCAGGCTGTCCACCTGCTCCACGCCCTCCAAATACTTCAAAATGCGCTCCGTTAGCTCGGATTGCTCGGGGGAAGACATTGTGGAAGTCTTGCTTATAGCTGCTTGAAGCTCAAGTAGAAATTGAAAAGGAAGTGAACTGCCAACGCCTATCGCTGCTATTGAAAAGGGGATACTATCGATAGCACGGTATCGATATATTGTCACGAGCTAAATTGAAAATTGAAGAGAAAGGAACTGCCAACTGCCAACGTCTATTGCTACTATCGAAAAGCGGATACTATCGAATGGGGGATACTATCGATAACAACGCAGGGCTATTCCTAATTGCCGAGATATTGTCACAAGCTGAAGTAGAAATTTAAAAGGAATGGAACTGACAGCGCAGATTGCTGCTATCGAAAAGGGGATACTATCGATAGTTAGATAGAGCTATTCCTCCACGTCGAGATATTGCCACAAGCTGAAGTAGAAATTAAAAAGGAAATGTTAGATTTCGGTTGGTACTATCGAAAAGGCAAACTATCGATTAATGTCAACACCAATTCATTTACGATATTATGTATCGGTATGTCGTGAATGAATTCACTGATAGCACCAATTGGAATCAATTTGATTTTTAGTTGTAAGCTTTACCATATCGATAAGTCTGCTACCGATTGTTGAGCTCTGCTAAATATCAGTTGCGATTCTTGGCCAGGATTATTAGCAAATTGATTTTCCTTTGCACTTAAGGCGCATCAGCACAAATCCCACGCTTACGCCAGGCTAAGCCAGGCGCATAGAAGCAGCTGCGCAATCAAGTTGAGAGCTTATTATTATTTATAGCGCCGTGTTTAACGAGGAAGTCGAGCAAATGCGACACTCACTCACACTTGCACACTTGACTCTGTGTGCATACAATTAAATATTTAACACTGGTCAGCAAATGTTTTGGAATGGAAATGAAAAGCAGCAAGTCTCGAAATAATCGCAAAACTATGAGCTTGAAGCTCGCGTTTTAAACAACAATGCCTATCGATAGTAAATAACACTGCCTATCGATATAAGCTTAAGTAAAATATGGAATAGCAAAGATCGATGCATGCGAGACTTTATGCTTATATATAGTCGATGAATAGACAGATGAATGAGCATTATCTGTAGACTCAGAGATATAGAGAGGAGCACAGCGAAAGGAGGCAGATTAAATACATATGTACCTATGTAACTCCCCCATACTTCTTCATATATTAAAGCCCATTCCCTCATCCTTTCAGCGCCTCTACATACAATATTTACAGGGTATTTGATGAGCAAGTTAAAGCCTTGTATGCATCATAATATGCGCTTAACTACTTTCGCCCTCTGCACATATTTGCATAAAACCATCATGGCCAAAGCGCTCCAGCCTCCAGCGTTCGGGGCGTGAAGGGCGGTGCAGGGCGTGCCAGCGGATACATGAGTCCAAGGACGACAACTGGCGGCGCCGCATGCTGCCAATGCAAATTCACAGCTGTCAATCAAATGGAGTGGAAGGCGGTGTTCCATGTCTGCCATCGCTTGGGCCCAAAGGCCATGAAATATGCAGCAAACGAGATAGCCCGCGGTTGCAGTTCTCTGTATGTATGTGTTTGTGGGTGTGGGTGTGGGTGTGGGTGTGTGTGCGTGCCAGAGTGGAGGCTGGCGACTGCAGCTGGTATTGCACTTCAAATTGATTAAGCACTCCACAGCGGCTCTACCAGGTGAAGGTGGCAATTCGATTGGCCAAGTTGAGGTGCCAAGTTTCTGGCCAGCACACTCGCCGGCTGAAAGCTTGCAACGGCTGCTGCTTTTAATACCCTGTAGTACTGTGTACGCAAAAGCGGGTAGCTCGAACTGCAGAGCTAAAAGAAATAGGCAGATTAAGTGACTCAGCTCTTGGTGTGAACTACACGTGTTTGTCTATGTCGGTTAGATTAACTCTCTGCTAGTGTGGAGTTACAGGGTATAAGCGAGTAATATACTTACGTGAAGCACACTTTGACTTGCTTGAAAACTATTTTATTGAGTGAATAAAGACCAGTCTGGCATATCATAAATGTGACTATGAAACGAGACTGCCCCTGTGTGTGTGTAAGTGAGTGTGTGTGTGTGTGTGTGTGTGTGTGTGTTTGACAAACAACTTGAGCACACTTGCCACAAAATGACTCTGAGCAGCTGCCAACTTCTATAGCATTTCGCACGCATTTGACAACTTCCGGTTGTGTTCATGGCTCTGCAGCAACAGCAGACAAACCACCCAACCACACACACACTCGTACACGCCCACCCAACCACACACCCAGAGCAATTCAGAAAGTCTGAGTAGATTTAAGCATCACTGTCTGCCCGTTATTAAGTTTGCGGCCACAAACTTGCGCTTCAGCAAAGTTTATGCTTCATTTTGATTGGCTTTGTAAGCATCAGGCAGCCACCCGACCCAAACCACTCGCTGCACCACACTCGACGACCACACAGCACCAGCGAGGCCAAGTAGTACATATTTTCCTTTAAGTGCACAACTTTCAGTTTTTTGGGTGAGCTTTATTTGGGTGCTTCAAATTTGATGGGTTATAAAGGGGAAATAAATCGGACCTTTTGCTAGTTTGATACATATAATGTGTATACTCCATATATATTATATATTCCAATACCATGCTCTATACACTAGACTTTAGATACTCTAAATACTTTACATACTATCTGTAAACACTCTGTATACCTTCTGTAAACTCTCTGTATACACTCTATGTATATAGAAAGTATCTCTGTATATCTTCTGCATACTATCTGTATACTCTAGAGAGTGCAATATACTCTATAAACTCTCTATAGAGTACACACAACATTCCATATACTCAATTCACTGCATATACTTTAGTTTTGCAGCTCAGTTTACTTTTCGGACTTTGGGTGGTATTATCAGAAAGCTGTGTGTGCTTTCATGGCCACACTCTGTCCCTTTGCCCATTCTGAAGTGGCCCTGGGGCGCTTATTATTTTAGCTCCATTTGCTTGCTCTGGCTCCTGGCACTCACGCAGCAGTCGGTTTTGTTATTCCTTAGTATTTTCCATTTCCTGTGGAGCACATCCTTTTATTTTCCAAATATTATTGCATGCTAGTGCCGGCACCCAACGAGTCACCTTCATTTTTTTGCTACAAATTGAAACAAATATTTCGTAGTGCGATTTGCATTTAGCTGAAAACTATATATAGTTTACGTAAGCCCTCAACTAAATGCAAACTCCATGAAAAGCGCATAAATATTATTCATGGAAATGTTTGACGTTTATTAAATTCCATTGAAGAAAACCAAATTTAGTAAAATGAAACTTTTAATGAATCAAATCTATCGAGCATTGTTGAGATGCTCAGTGCTTCTACCCTGGACAATCTGGAAACAGATGGGTATGATGTACTTTGTGCAAATGGTTAATATTTCATATCGAATAAAATCGATACAAATAAAAATGACTTCAGGATTCATTTAAGTATTACTCTTAAGATTAGATATAACTTTTAAATATTGTAGTTTTTTTATTTTTGCATATTATGTATTATATAAGAATATATAT